CTACACTTCTCCAAATTGGAAATTTAGATTACAAGTTTGAAACAAATATTTTAATAATCAGGGATAATTCATATAAAGTCCACAGAGCATTTTCAATTTTTTCTCAGAAAAGGCTTTTCTTTTTCTTCTATCTTTTTGGATAAAGGGCAATGCCCTTGTTGAAATGTCACATATCCAATTTTCTTTAAAACTTCTAAAATTTTGGAAATAGTCTAAGTTCAAAATTTTTATTTATTTCATGAGCAAATTTTTATTTACTTCAGAAATTTAATTAGTTTTCATGTAAATTTAAGTTAAATTGTGTCAATTTTCTGCAAAAACTATGTGAAAAATACTTCCTTAAAAGCAGTTACCAAATTTACTGAGTACAATCCACTAACTTACATGATAAAAAAATAGAGACAGAAACCATCTCCCAAAAAGAAATCCCACTAGGTATACCTGCCACTTTGGTTACCAATGCTGATTTTTCAAAAATTACACTAATATATTTTTATCTATCTTGGATATAATAAATGATTAAGTATACATGCATTTTACAGTATAGTTGTAGATTTATGTTTGAATGATTGCATATGAAATATATCAAACTTTCAAATGTATGCAAGTGCAAATGAGTTTGAAATTATGTATTTTCAGAAATGCTTAAATGACACTTTCTCAAAACTGGCTCCAAATTAATTCCAAAAAATGTCCATTTGAAAGGAGATGCATTCTTCTCCGGTATTCCGAAAGCCTCATTTCAATTAATATTTAATTTACCACATTTACAAATACTTTGAGAAAGTCCAAGCTGTGTTTCAAGACCAATTGCTTCAGTTCATTTGTGGATGCTAATTACTATATAAGCTGCTTGTTTTTTCTACTTAATATGACAAAAGATGGATTCTAGGGAAATATGAAAAGTGTTGTACGCAATCTCTAAATTATGTACTTCTTAAAAATGATTATGCAAAATTTCATCATTTCTAGAATTAAATTCTGAGCATGTTTGAATATGTTACAGATTTGGCAACCCGAGCATGGATTATGTTATTGATAGCAATGATTGCACGTGTTTCCATAGCTGCATCACTCAATATGCTAACTGTGGTGTCTGCTGAATTACTTCCTAAATCCACAAGGCAAAGCATAATGTTTTCTGCAGTTACAATAGCACGGGTCTGTTTACTCTCAGCACCTTTTATTGGTTCTCTGGTGAGAAAACATTCAAGTTCAAATATCATTAAGAGTGCCATCAACTATTTCAGCAAAAAATGAAACATTTCTTGCAATTATTCAGCGTTAATATGCTCAATCCCGTAACAATATGCTTTCTCATCAACTATTGCATTTTAAATTAACATCACTGTTGCAAGAATAGTATCTTTTTTAAACATTTTATTGAAAATGGTTCTTGCTTAATTACTTGGATGTATAACTTTATCAAACTGTAGCTTTTCTTGATATTTCAGGCTATGTATGGAGACTGTGTATCGCTTTCAGCTTTTGGAGCTCTAACAGCAATGGCTGGATTTGCTGTTCTCCCATTGCAGAAAGTTGATAATATGAAAAATTTTGAAAACAATAATGGCAGTACCTCAATAAAAAATTATTATGGCCAGGGAACAAGGTATGATATGCTTTAATTCTAATAAATGTAAATTCCACAAATTTCTAAAATCAAAACTATAAAATTAGTTCGCAGGATTGGACAATATGGATATTAGATTAGAAGAAACAATTAGTTATGGCAAGTTTCCAAATATTTAATTTCTTAACCACGGTTTATTAATACACATTAATGACCAGCCACATTTCCGTCTATCAGGGATGGAGTTAATTAGTAATTAAAAAATACAATTAAATTATATATTTTCTTATAAACATTTTAACACATTAAAATAATCACTTCCAACCTACTTAGAATTCAAAACATCAAATATATTATAATAATATGTAAAATATTAAATTGCATTTTACATTGCTGCCATGTTTTTTTTAATTTGACTGCTCAGCTTTGATCAATTCTTTGTGTTTAAAGAATATTTTTTAAATTTCAGTGCGTTGAGAAATATGAAAATTATGTGCAAATTATTAAATATCTTGAGAAACAATTGAGGATGATTAATGGGGCCTAAAAATAATGAAAAACAACAAACACGATCTTCAAAAAGTGCATCAAGGCAATCAGTGACTTATTATTATTTAATACACAAAGATCTCGTATTGTCGAGTCCTGGTAACGAAAAAATGTATAAATTTAGTAAGTCCGGGAGACGGCGTGTCCCGGGCACAAGTGCCATCGTTTCGGCTGTCATTCTGCGACCTTCCCCAGAGTGAAATGTCTTGAACATTTCGCCCTGAGTAAGGTCACAGAATGACAGCCGAAACATCAGCACCTGTGTTGTCATGTAATTTTGCATGATTTTTAAGCATTTTTATTCAATTATTATCTCAAAAACGGCAAAAACGCCAAGTATTTTCCTCGTATGGTACAAAAAATTGTGCTGGTCCCATTTTCGCAACCGGTGCGCATTGCAAAAGCGATCTCTGTATTTTCGAAAATTGCAAAAAATTAATATTCCAAAAGTACAATTTTGATGATAGATTTCTGATCTTAAAACTGTTCTAAAATTTAAAACTTTAAATTAGGTCATGAACAATTTTTTTTTAAACAATAGTTTTAGGTGATTTCTGCTTGAAATTACTGCAATATATTAAAAAATACTGAAAATCGGCTTAAACTTTATTCGGAGGTAGATTAAAAAACGCTTAAAAATGGGGTATAATTTTCATTGAAATTTCTGAATTTTTTAAAGTTGGAAATGTTTGAAACAATGCGACAAAGTATGTGCTGTTGTAGCGCTACTGGTTTTACCAAAGAATGTTTCTCTGCTTAGTACAGTAGCAGTCGTAGTGGTGCAAGCGTATGTAACATATTTCGAAAGCGGTTTTCTTTTAGGTTCTGAATGACTTGTATGCCATACGTTGAAGTGCAAGGGCCCCAAATATTCAGGTCGGGATGAGACGCCGTTGAAGATGGCGGAAAAACGTCATTTTGACACCACCTGTAACCCAATCTTTTGGTTTTAAAACAAAAATAATGGTGTGTTCTTTAAAAAATGCCCTTATTCACGTTTTGATACATGGTAACGTTTTTACTTTCTCGCTGCCGCTTACGCAGTAGAGAGAAAGTTATGTACTGCTGCGTGAAAAAGCGGCGAATTTTTGGCAGAAAAACTCTTTATTGCCGAAAAAAAAAAAAAATGAAGTTGCTAAATTTAGGGAAAAAATCATCTAACACGTAGTGTACCCAAAACCCATGTTTTGAGGGTCCTTGATACTGAAAAATCGATTGGCGGCAAACATAAGTCCTGTTTGTGAGCAAGGCTAGCGTTAAACCGATTTTCTCCAAAATTGATATCCTCCAATCGATCTGGCCGATGTCGTGGCTCCTTAAATTTGAAACGGATATTTTAATTTGAAGAGGGTACTTTTCATGAAGTCTCTGAACATTTTCTAAATTTTCAAAAAATGGCTACGTTTTTGATCAAATTTGGTTGTTGGATAGTGTGAAGGATGTTTAAGAAAATGGCGCAGGTCGGGTTTTCGTCGAAAACCCTAATCTTTCGAACATTGCAAAAATTCAAATTTGTTTCGGAATCTTCCTACAATTGTGAAGATACGTTTTTTTCCCTAATGAAATGTGTTTATCAAAAAACAGATATTCAAATAAGGACATGTTGAATTTTTCGAAAGTATGAGAATTTGTTTGTGTAATTTGGCGACAATCGTTATCGCCTGCTTCGAATTTCCTGCGCTTCTTGAAAGTATTTTGAGAAGTGCTTGGAAGTAATTAGACGCAACATAAATTAGAATTTGTATATTATTTCATATTTATTGGTTCGTTTCTAACATTCTAGCTTTTGTTAAACGTTTATAAATTAAACATTTAAAAATTGTTTGAAACCTATTTGATAATCCATTTTTTGTCCGTGGTGCGAGGAATGTATTGATGTATTTTCTTTCAAGCAATTCGCTAACCATAATTGAAATTAGCCCAATTAGGATTTCTCTCTTGAAAATATGATTTAAATGTAATATGAAAGAAAAATTGATAGCTTTCAGAAAATATGTGATTGGAATGCGACAATGGCATTCTGACCCTCGAGACGGCAGGTGTAATTGTCTCATAGTTGGGACATGATTGAGCTATATGGAACGTAGTTACAATTGTTGAATTTATGTTTATATTGGCTTGAAAATACTTAGTTTTCGCATCTAATGTTCTATGTTTTGTAATGAGTTTAAACAGAATGATGACTAAGATGTGTTAATTCGGAGAGAAATTGTGGTATAATAGTATTACTAAGGGCGACAAAGTACGTGTAGTTTTAGCACCACTACTTTAATTAGAGTGCTATGTTTGAACACGTGAAGGAAAAGTTGCTCTGGAGGCATAAAAATGCTCCGCGAGACCATCTCAGATTTCGATGCAATTTTGTATCTCGAGTTTCACCTGTCTGAAAGGAACTTCTGTGTAGTTGTAGTTGAAAGGGTATAGGTGAACCACTTCTTTTTAGATTTGGCAGTTTGTTATATATATATATATATATATATCACTGAATGAAAAAATGAATGTAGGGGCGCGTTATTTCGAATTTGCCAGGAGCCACCGAGTTCTAACAGCGGCCTGCGTTTCTCTTAGACTGTACAGTCTATATTACGTACCATTTTATCGTGAAACTTTTGAATGAAAAATGTCCACTATTTGAAGGGGAAAAATTGTGAACATATTGAAAAAAACCGACTGTTCGCTCAAATAGTGAACTTCTGGCAACCCTAAGTAATTAAGTATATACGAATACGTGTTTTTGGGTTCTTCTGATTCCATTTGTTTTTTTTTTAGAATAGAGTAAAATACACTTATAAAGATGTCTTGGGCCCCATATTCATAGTTAACTCTCAATGCGGCGTCGATGGTGTTACGGTTAATGTATCGGACTGTTCCTTCGAAGGGGAAGAAAAACCGGCTGGCCCATGATAGTAGATTTACTGCGTGTAACAGATAAAGCCTAAATTAAGCCTCCGAGGCAAATTCAAATCGCCTGTTTCGTCGTCCAAGAAATTTTCCGTTGGTGAAAGGAGCGTAGCGGAATTTGCGTGGACAGACGGAAGAGCAGGCCTCATGGCTAGAGTCTCACCTCAAAAATAAGTCAACAATTCAATTCAGTTGAATTTTCAAAAATTGCAAAAGTCTGAAATTTTGCGGCATCTTCAACTACAAAATTGAAGATATTTTTCCTTCAAATGAAATTTGTTTTCTATTATTAGTTCTTTCATTTAGGTCATGCAAATTTTTTATTTTTTTTGTTTTAGAAGTAGTTTTTGCACAATACTGTGTGAAATATAAGCAGTATTAAAAAATAAAACACACACATTGCTTCACATCTGAGAAAAATATTAATTTAAGAAATTCTCTAATTTCACAGGAGTCGTACGTGCTTTTGAAACTACATGTCGGTACAAAATTTTTCTCAAAGATTAAATTTACAAAGAATTCGTCACATGCTTCATTAACTGTTAACAATAAGAAAACCAGCTAAGATGTACTATGTCTTGAATAAAATTAAATTAAGTAACAATTATATGATTAAGACTCAATAGTTTAATATATTTCATTCTTGTATAATAATAAAGTACCATTCGTTTTGTATTTTTTTAAAGTATATTTACCAAAGGGTGATCCTGCTATATTGGTATGAGTTATCAAAGTGGCCAGACCTGTGAAACCATTTAGATTGGCCAGACCTGTCCTAGTGTAACAATTTACTAATGTTTGGATGTAATGTTACAAAACCAAAATATTAGTTTCTGATATTTGTTAATGCAAATCAAGTAAGTATGCTGGCAATACAATTGTATTTGTTCATAATAGGTGAGATGAACTCTAACATGACGCTTGCACAATATTCGTACAGCATCAGGTGACTGGTATTTATTGTGTTTGAGATTTTTGAATTTGCCACTAAACATATCTCGTGTGAATGAGTCTTATTAACAAATTCTTCTGTTGACTAGTTTATTACAAATAATGTAGTAATTGGTTCATTTTTAAATTACACTTAATGTTACATTTACAGGTGCAGATCTTCATCTATGCCCAATGGAGGTGAAGAGTCATTGATATTGAATAGTCCCCAGCAATCTAAAGAATAATTGGAGGCACTTATTTCTTAATAAATATTAGAAACTGTATGTATGGTTACAATGCAAATATGAAAGTTTTAATCATGTATGTGATAAAAATGTTGCCTCTTTTGTATGTGAACTGTACTAAATACATTTCAATTTGTACAAATTTCATCTTCTGTAACTGAAGAACAAAATTTACTATGATTTTTTAACACTGAAATTTTATTTTTTCCTAAATACTCCTCAAAAAGTGCCTTTTCTAAGATAAGACATTATATAAAAAATGCATGTGAGTGAAAATGAGAGTTTAGAAATTACAAATTTTATGAGCAATTAACTTTTATTAGCTATTTAATAGCTGAAGAGAGAATATTTGATAGTGCATAAATTTGTATCAGTCATAAAAATATGTAAATTTCAAAATATAATTTTGAGTATTTTTAACAAATAGCTAAAGCATAATTAAAATATTATACAACAATATATTGTGTTACATTATACATTATTCATGGATAATATACACTGCCAGTCAAACATTTTGCACAAAAATAATTTCAAATTTGTGACGAAAATAGATTGAGAACGTAATAATACACTTACATACAATGGTCACTGACTATTCACATATGTTATGCTAACAATATATATTTTTTCAATAAACGGAAACATTTTCAATTAAAAAAATAAATTTGTTAAACTGTCATTTCGTAAAAAAAAAGTAACCCTTGTCGGAATAACTTTCTTTATGATTCTTAGCATCCTATTCATGAGTTTTCACAAACAATATTTTCAATGAATTATTTTAGAAAAATATTCAAAGTTTTTTCAATTCTGAACCACTATGAACTAGAAACTGTGGTATGCATACAGTTTGAACTCCATAGAGAACGACACTGTCACCGCATAACTACTAAAGGCATAAGAGCAAAGAGGAGAGGGAGAATGTAATGGAAATAATTGCAAGGTTGTCGATCATGTTCATGTTGGCATTAGCTTCTTACCATGGTTTCCAATTCTTAGGCTGGCATCTCGTTGTAGGCTGAAGACATTGTGATCGCTACTGCAGCACTGTTTCTCTGTATGTCACGGTTGCTGGCTGCTGGCGGTGTCGTTCTCAAGACTGAGCGCAAGACTTTTTTGGGTGTCCGTTTATATATGATCCTGCTAATTGGGAATATTTCTGGGAGCGTCAATTTAGAAAGATGGATTTTCCAAGCCAGTATCAACATGTTTTCCAAAATTTTTCTGCTCATTCAGCTCAGGGCAAATGGTGATGAAATACTTTATACTACTTTCGATTGTGATGGCAAAGTACGTGATTATAATTTACAATATTTATATTGGCTCATAATGTAGAGATCTCCTGTTCGTTAACGCTCAGAGCCACATGGTGAAATATAATACAGAATCTTGCTATTTTAATAATGGCTCATCACACTTTCCTATACACATAAAACACATGAATACTCTTGAGTGAGGATATAAGGATCCCTAAGTAATGTTTATCCATTCAAGATAAATTAAGAGAAAGACCCTACTTTGGTGCCACGGGTTTGGGTTGCACTATCAAAACCAAATATAGCCCACCGAGAAAAGGAATTTAAATGGGTGTCCAAAAACTTTTGACTGGCAGTGCACAAATGTTTATGGTGCCCAATATAAAAATAATTAAACCTATTGGGAAAGAATCTGTTGGGCATTTTTTATTCAGGCACATACATTAAATTAGACCCATTTATGTTGTTGTTGTTGTTGTTGTTTTGTTTTTTTTCAACTCACTTCATCAAATAAACTGGATTTTTAATAGTTATAGTAAGAATATTATTTGCTTCTGCCAAAGGATAGTAAGTTCCAACAATATAGTTAACTCATCATTTTTCATTATTGATTGAAAAATTCGGTAAAAATAACTAGCTATAATATGCATTCACTCAGTATATTATTATTAAAAATTATTAGAAAAATGATTGTTAATAAGATGATATGAAACTATTGCACACCCCAAAACATGAGCTGGTCTTGCATATGACACAGTTATTTTTACTACATGGAAACCGAAAATTGGTACAGCACTGCAGTAATCTGTTGTTGATTTAACATGAAATTTATTCAATGCTTGCATGAAAAGAAAAAAGTACTTCATCCCTAATCTGAAAATAGCTCTATTGTCAATCAATTCTAAGTTCTGTATTCTTCTTGCGTAATGAATTTAACACATTTAAAATACAATTGTTTTCCATTAAGAAATTACCCATGCCAAATCACTTTCAAAGGCAGTGACTTGTCCAGGCTCTCCTTCATACTGCCCCATTACAAATTCTGCTACTATAATGGATTGAGAAGATAATGAATTGCGAGGGCTATTACTGGAGGAATCATCACTGCATTGTTGTTAATCATACTAATCATACAATTTCCCATTTTAGCAAAAAACTAAATATATAATTTAACTAATTTAAAGAAAAGTGTCAAAACCTTGAAAATATGACATTGAAAATTCAAGAGCTACTGGCACAAAGATACCCCTTCATTTTCTATTTGTTTATTTCTTTCAAAAACCAAAAAATTAAGAAAGTGAGAGTAGATACTATAGTATAGATTAATGAATAATGCCGTAAAATAATGCACTTACTTTATTCTCCTTAAAGGTTTGAGTTACAACACAAATTTCTCAGAGTACAAACACTGGGCAACTTTGGTTACTGTTGTTGTTGTTGTTATTATTATTATTATTATTATTATTATTATTATTATTATTATTATTAGAAGAGGCAACACACATAATTAAGTCACTATATTTTTAAAACAATTACTATTATTATTATTATTATTATTATTATTATTATTATTATTATTATTATTATGTAGAGCCAGTGCTACCACTGTTATTAAGAGTGATTTATAATTATTAAATTATATTGTAAATGAATATCCATTTCTATTAAATTAATGATCAATTTGAGGGTCCGGTCCTTATAAATCAAGCATGAGTAAAACCATCAATTTGCTATTACATGCAAATTCAACTTTATTAAAAAGTTAAAAATTATCTATCAAGAAAGGAAATGCAGTAAGTTTCTAAAGGAAGAGGTCAAGTACAATGTTAAAAAATCAAGAAAATATTTTCCTTATTACAGCGCTAGATTTGAAATTGTGATTAAAATTAAGAGATGGTAAAAATGCCATAAAATTAACTCAACAGATTTCTTAAAACAGTGCGACCATCATGCATAGCTATAGCTCAACAACTGCAGTTTGAGAATGATCTCATCAATTTTGTTCAGATTGTGGTGTATCTTGTAAAATATAGACTTCATCTTCCCAAAAGCAGATTGCAGTTCAAAGTAGATTTATTTAAAGATTTTGGGGGGAAGAAGTTTTCTCAACAACAACAAAAAAACAACAAACAAACAAACACAATTAAGTCTGTGAAGGAGAGGACAAAATTAAGGATATTATGCAACCACTGGGGAAAGAAAACAAATTCCCTGTTGGTAAATCTTAGTTCCCACAAAGCAAATTCCAAAATATTTATTGTTGATAATCATCCATCATACAGTACAAATCATCAAATGTGTGAATACTATTTATATTCACCATAAATGCATAAGTCTTCTAAAGACTATAAAACCAGCAACATGATAACTTTATCATCTTTTAAACATTTATGTTGAAACATACAAAGAATCTCAGTAGTAATTCCATTTTAGAATGCGAGAAAACTCACGTTTTATCTGTAGAGCAGGGTCGACCAACAAAGCTTATTGAGAGCATGGAGCAAGCACAGCGCTACAGAGTGCATTGTTGGAGCAAGCACTACTGGCCAGTGATAGATACAGAAGTATTATTCTGTTCAAAGAGAAATGTCAAGAGTGGATGATTCACAGAACAAACTGTTGACTCTCAATATTTTAATTCTGTTTGGGAAGAGATGTATCTTTCTGAAATTTGTAGTGGGAATGCCAAATTCTTAGTGTGCCATAAAGTACAAATACACACCAAGAAATTTAATTTCTGGCAGAATAAAGCAATTAATCACACCACCAAGTATGACAAATTCTCTAAAGGATTACAACAATTATTTTAAAAAAATATGAGACCAATAATGTTAGTTTTCTATATTTTACAATAGAAATATTACTAAAATATTTAATGCTTATGTGAAGGAAATGAATAATTTATATTAATTCTTTTGATGTTCAATACTATCAATTTAATTACTAGGAATGATTCAATTTCAATTTCTGACAGTTATAATACTAAGAGATTAATATCATTTTACATAAATACATTTGAATACACATAACCAATCATAATACCTATTAAATAAAAACTATTTTTCTACAATGGAGTGCTAAGAGCTGAATATTGCACCTATTCAGATATTATTATGAACATCATAATTAAAGCCCAAAAGATTGGGAAAATGCCTTCTTTTTATCACTTTAATTTCATATCGTTTGACAATAGAAACCACTTAATTGTACTTCTAGAGTTGTTTTAATTGATTTACATTTTTCCTTCTTTAGCCTATTTTAACTTTTGATGCCTATTTTTGGTATTTGCCTTGTTTTTGCCCTTTTCTTCCTTTTTGGCCATTATTTTTGTTTTCCCCTGGCACCGATTTCAATCAAGTTAGAAACATACCTGCAAACCTGGACAACATGAAGGTATGATATCGAGTTTTGTATTCAGTGGAAGTGGAGTCCCCAAAAGACCTAGTAGTGTTAAAAATTGAAATGATAAAGGAAGACCACTCAAGATTTTTTATTTTTTTCAATAACACAGTCAGGCTGTTTACTCAGAAAGAATCCAATGGAGTATGGTCTCTCATCCCTTTTGTAAAAATATCTCTCTGTATTTGATAAAAACTTCTCAGTGCTGAGGGTTACACAAGTGCGAAGGACTAAAACTGTAATTCTATTTTCACAGATGCCATTTCAAGATAAAAGGGGAGTCTACAAAAGCATTTCGAAGAGACAGCGTCACCAGTAAAAACAAATTAATAGCCATTATATAGGATGGCCATGTGGTATCAAGATTACAAAGAAAATATCATTTCCTTCCACTGTAAGTACTGATCTACATTTTTGAGCTAGAATAAAAATGGTTAAAATATTTTTACAAGTTTATTAATTTTTTAAATAATATCTTTTAAATGTGATTTTTTCAATGTTTACACACCTTTTTTCACTTCTACATCAGCTACAATAAAAGCTCTTTTGAATGCCTATTTTAGGTAAAATTAATATTCGAACTTTTGGATTCTGGTCATAATGAAACACATGCTCATATGGATAAATCATTAGACATTGGATGTCAAGGCACTACAAACTTACATTTTCGGCAGCTCAAAAGGCAATACATTTTTAGAAAAAGGCACTGAAAAGGGTATTAAAAACTTAAAATTAGAGGGCAAAAAGGGATCTGTATTTCATTGCACTTGCATCTAAAATTAGACAATACCAAAAACAATATAACTTGAGAGAGTAGACAATTAATGAATCTTTAGTACACTTTAAAAACATCTATAATGTTTCATGTCACAAAAATTATAAAAATTTAATTTTTATAATTTTTATGAAAGTTGTGAAAAAGTGACTAAATAAATTTTGCAATACAGAACACTTTGTTTTTCAATTGTTTTACATAGTTTTTATGCATAAATTCTATATTGCATAATTGCTATCAAAAGTATATAGATATTATACATAGTAACATGCATTCATGTAAAATAGTATAATAAATCACATAGTATTATGACTGTCAATAATTTAAATTGGCCCATTCCAAAAAGTAATTGAAGTGAATAATTCCACCCAATCCTTTTATTTCTCGAGAACAACATTTGTAGCACATGTAAGCTTAATTATAAGTTGTCCATTACATTTATGAATAAATTACACAAACAGAATTTGCAATGAGTGTGCAGCTACAAAATTGTGCCCCAAAAGGATACACCTAAAACCAATTTAGGGGAATTCATCAAACGTTATTTCTGAAATAGGTTACTTTCCCCCCCTTCAAATATGGTTTTCAATTTGTTTATCAATAGAAGATAAATAAATTTGGTAGTGCAGAAATATTTATTTTTATTTCATTCACTTTTTTTACCAACACTTCTCTCTATTGGGAGAAACACAAGGTTCAGTGTTTCATGGCATGCAGTCATATTCCACTCTTTACGTACTTCCCTCCACAGGCTGACTCATCAGGGAACACAGAACAGCTGGGTATTTTTCTTTGGTGCACTTACATGGACGGACCTGCTCTAGAGAAACCTATAAAACTAACTCTCAAATTACATGAAAATTGGAGAGGTTTACTTATTTATTTAAATAAATAAATAAACTTCAAGGAACATTAAGACTGTTCCTATTGGCCACTTGCCAACTTTAAATCACTATCATAGGAAAATAAAATAATGAGTTAATAAAAGCACTTAAATACTTAGTTGCCATTGATCTGTTAATCACATCAAAAATATAAATCTATCACATTTGAAAACAATAACAAAGTAAGAGATCTACTTTGTAAAAATAAAAATATTCTTCAAAATATCCCGAATATGTGAACTAAACCAACAATTCACTACCTTCATTTTCACATACATATTCTTAAAGTGATAAAAGTACCATAAATTATACTGCAATTCAAGCAAAGCACCATAACAAAGTCAATGCAGTCTATCTAAAAAATAATAATTAGAAATATTTTTCAAGATTCAAAGAAGATTGTAAAAATAATCCTTAGGGCACATTTACCAGTTGAGAATAAAATATACAAACAGAGCCCTAATATAAATATTCAGTCTTATCACATTTTCAAAATGCATTCACAGACAGAATCCAAATCAACATACCTCAAGTTATTACTATCTATTTAAAACATTTCTCATATCAATAACCCTGTACAAAATATGTACAAATATACTATACCAGAACTATTCATCAAAACGATTATTGAGCATATCTCCTATTTTGTCGATACATAGGGGGTGGTACTGGTCCAACCCTGCCGACAGGGGCAGGAAGTGCTCGTTGCGGTGGTTGAAAATTTTGGAAAGCATTATTTGGAGTAGATCCTCTCCACAGTAGTGTTATCAATATAAATAAACCACCCACACATTTTGAAAAGAAATCAATGATTCCCAATACTATAGGAGTACATGCATTAACAAAAACAGATATTTCTCGCATGAGCCTCAATGAAAAGTCACCTAAGAATGCCACAAACTTAAAAAATCCTGTTACTGCTGAAATTACCAGAATTACAAGAAAAGACAGCATTTGTCTCATGTTGTGAAATGTAAACAAAAGAGAGAGAGCAGATATCCAATGATTCAATGTGTCATGATAGTTAATGTCTTTAACAGACACAAGAAGTTTTTGAAAATCAAATGAAGAAATTATTTTACTAGAGTCTTCTTTCTCTTGAGTTTCATCTTGCTGAGAGTCCAAGTTGAGAGTTTGTTTCTCTGAATTTGTACTTGCTCTAATTCCAAACCCTCCATCTACATCAACAGATCTGATGAAAGGCAAATAAAAAGATGCAAGTTAAAACAAAGTTCACAAAACAAGTAGAATTTATCATCAAAGTACTTGCTAAATCCATTTTTGAGTTGCATACATTGCAAGGCTACATTTTTTCTATTCTTTTCATTAGTTAAATTGTTGAAGTTTATTTCCTTTTTTGAGAAGAAATTGTTGACTGATTATTTCCTTTTTTTAAATATGTTATAAATAGTGGAATTATACAGGAAAAAATCCATCTTTGGATCGACTTTTTGTTTCTTAAAAGCAATGCTATATATTACAATGTGTGGGAAAAGTAACAGGCTTTATCTCCTATCTAGCAAAAGATTTCGGTAGACAAATTTATCAGCAACAACTTCAATTTCAAATAAATAGAGTGCATTGATTTATTTTAATACACATAGTCCAGTTGGTAAGTACATTTTACATGGAAATAGGCCATAAAAACTTTTTCTTTGGATATGATGTAGTATATACCCAGGCACTTCTTAAAACCCCAAGTTTTTGACCTCCCACATCCAGAGCTAACTTTAGGAGACCAGAAAAACTTTGCTTTCCTCCTGCATTTTTGGGGGTTTTGCTCTATAATCTTTTAACCTTACCTCCTATCAGTAAAGGAGTTATTATCAATTATAAAGAAGATAAAATTTCCAACAACTGTTGAAGAATACATTCTTTTCTAAATCTAATAATAAGTGAGTTACAGAGCTTAAAAAATATAATTGTTCCAAAATGTGCATCAAAATTCAGATATATTTCTGATAAAATAATCAAAACTATAATAGATATAGTCATTATAAATAATATGATACATGTTCCTGGCAATGTACATATTTCCTACAAAATTCATATTTGACCCCAATTTACCTGGTAAAAATTTAAATACTTGTAAGTAGTATATTTACTTTTTTCCCTAGGCAATGTATACACTGACAACTAATAGGGGTGCCGAGGTATGAAAAGTATTTTATTTTTGTATCCACTGGGCAGATGAGAGTTTCTTACTTTTATTTTCATAGAGAGTTATCTCTTATTTACTCTGGCATGAAGAACCATTTATCTTTATTTGAAGTACCCTATTATAATGCAGTGGAGAGCTAGGGATACTTTGCAGTGTTTACTCTTTGCCTAGGAAAGGTCTAGAACTGTGTGCTTTGCCTAAATTTCTCCAAAACGAATACTTAATTGAAGAAGAATTCATTTTGGGGAAAATCCTGAATATAGTTTAGATGCTAGTGTTGTTCACAGATGGTAATAGATACAAAAATGTGAAGATATTCATATAGGTCCCAACTCTGAACTTTCGATCTTGACCAGAGCATTGCTCAATGTGTTTTTTTGTTGGTCATAATTGTTTTCGAAGTTTTATTGAAGACAAAATTCTTGTTGTAATTTTTTTTGACAAGCACTGTGGGCAGTTATTTGCTCCAATCCTTTCAAAAACTTATGATCAACAGACTTTTTTTCCATTTCACACTGGATTCTTGATGTCTGGTAACTCCTTTATTTTTCACCACAACCACTTCACCTTCTGTAAAATTATTTTGGCATTAAAAACAAGGTCCTGTCCATGTAGAAGATGACCCTGCAGCACTAAACTTCACAATAAGTAACACAAATTTATGTGCACTTATCTGTCTTATGCCAGCAGTACAATGAACCCCAAAATTGTGGAGGCACTGGTGCACTACGTAGACTACAGCCACAAGTTATTTGATATTTCCAAATTAGAGGGCAGATTTTATTGACATGCCATTTCTTTTCTTATAATAAAGACATTCATTTTATGTTATGACATAAGTAAATGACCCATTTTTATATTGCATTTTTTCTTTTCATTTTTCATTGAATTTAACTAATAAGTCATTATTTACCTTTTCCTGTCATTTTGAAAGCATTTTTCACTCATTTCACCAACCTTTAATATTATGTTAATGGTACTTACTTCACATAATATTTAGGAGATGCAACAAATGTTTTCCACAGAATTCCTAAGTAGCCTATATTCATTTTTTTTGTTCAGAAATTGTAACGTCAGCCGTTGTATGTAAACTAAGCTTCTGTGATCCCTGCCATTGTCGGTTCGTCTGATTTCGCAATAACTAAAACAGGATTTCCTGGTAAAGAACAGTCCGAATCAAAAGTTTGCAAGTTGAGTTCACTTGAATGAAAGGAAGAAGTGTCAACATATCCAACAATTTGAGTTGTTTATATGAACTGGTTTTGATCAAATTTTTGGTATAATTTTTCTTTGCTTTTACAGCATTTCAGTACATTTTAAGAACATTTTATTGATCGTTTTTGGCGATGTTTCAGGTCATTAAATTCTGCCTCCTCATTATTACTATCTTTTCATGACTTTATGCATCTTATCTCTTGAGTTCCGTTGAAGTTTCATTAATTAATATGAAGTATTGAAATTACAGGTAATCTTAAGCATAGCATTACTAGTATTCAGTTTAAATGGCATGAGAATTAAAGTGACAACATTTCTCGAGAAAGAAGAGCAGGGGAAAATGAAATGAGAATTTCAAGCAAAAAGGTGGACAGATATTGAATCATTATTACTTGGTTTTCAAAACAAAATTATATTAGTACTTTGTATTCCAAGTATGTCAAAATCTTTTTTTCTAGAAACAAATCTACACAACCATCTATTGATGAATCAGGAACTCACAAAAGTGCTATAATATTTATTTTTTCAAGAGTAATGGTATTCTCATGTAACACCAACTAAACACATTTATAAATGTATGAATCTTGCAAGTTTATATAAGTGCAATATGTACTGTGGCTTTGGTGCATACATCCTGTAAAAATTAAGTTTCAAAGCAGTTTCCTGGTACTCTGTAGTGTAATAAAATTAATAATAATAATAATAATAATAATAATAATAATAATAATAATAATAATAATAATAATAATATATGCACTAGTATGTAATAAAGTGCAGAAGAGTAGGCAATCTCAAATGCCTGGCCAAAGCTTGTCGCTGCCTACAAACCCTGCAATGTACTCTTTTTGACATGAGTTGTAGTTTGCTTGGTATTAGATTTAGAAAAACATATTTTATTCAAAAGTTGTAAGGAACGTTTTTCTCTTTATAATTGATACTAACAACTTTTTTGATAAGAAGTAAGATTAAAAAGTTACAGAGCAACTCCCCCTAGGTTAGAAAACATTGTTTTTGAGATTTCCTGAAGTTAGTACAGGGTCCGGGAGGTTGGAAATTTGGGATTTGAACCGGTGTCTGAATACAACATATCCAAAGAAAAAGACCATTTGACCGTTTTCCAAATAATCCCCCTTTCTGAGTATCTACTGATTGGACTAACATCATTCACTTATACATCGACAATTTTAATAGCTTTTAAAATTATTAACCAAGTGAATACAAATTTCGTAATCACTTACATCACTACGATTATTTCTGGGTTAAATACTTAATATACATATTAAATATCATTATTTCATGATTAGAATACATTTAACTCTCATGACAGACCTGGATTCTTAGGATCTGACCTATTTTATTACTTATTTTATTACATAATCATTTTAATAAAATAAAATTTAAAACTTTTCCGAGACAAATGCCTGAATCCTAAAGATTCTGAAAATGGTTAAAATGAGTTATGATCCTAAATGAGACAATCATGAATCTCTAAAAAGTGTACAAAGTTGGGAAAATAAATTTATTTCTTCATTTGATTCGACTGGAATAATACAGTGGCTTGAACGCAGCATGTAATGTTGATTTTCCTGTTAGTAAAAAAAGCGATTATCATCATTGAAGTTATTTCACGGAAAGAAGTGTCTTAGTATGTAGGAGATGCGTTCTTGTCAAAGCTTACGAAACTTCAAGACAGTCCTGGGTAAGATTGGATTAATTCATTTCTTCTTGGAGATGAAGTATCTGCAGAATTACGCAACTTGGCATTCCTGATTCAAGAGAATAGTGGCATCGATGAAGTATGCCTTTATGTTGCTTTGAGAAAAATGTTTCATGTTACAAGTGTGTGTTGAAAGACAATACGAAGTCCTTCATGAAAGATATTTTGAGAATGTTTTTGTTGTTCACTGCAACAGCACATATTAAAGAAGATAGATTTTGGTTTGTATGCTAATTTTCAGGAAAATATTTAAGTAGTGTCAAAATATATTTATTAATCTAGCATGATTTAAAAAAATAATTTTGTTAAAGTTCAGTTGTAAACAAATGCTTAAAATGAGTTAGTAATTAAAGTTTTGTATTTATTGCAAAAATTGTACAGCTTCATACAAAAATGATTAGGAAAAACAAAAAATCTAAAATGGTTTAAATTGTTTTTTCAACAATCTTCAACGACATTTGTAAAATCCTAAGAATCCGGGTTCTCATGTCTGTACCATTAATAAGTACTACACTTAAACCTTAAGTTTCAAATGAACTATTGCCTTTAGTTCTTGTAAAAACTTTTTGGTTTGTTATATATGACATTAATTACCACTGTTTATCATTAGTGACCAATTTTGTTATGCATTCTATTGTCGTCAATATATGTTATAATTACTGTACTTATGCGGATTCAGAAAACTATCAGTAACATGACTGTTACTATAATTATCTTCTGTATAAAAGACAATGTTTGTTTGTTCATACTTAATGCTGCCACTATCGTACCGCTCATCAGATTGCAATAAAACTTCGTCAACTTATTGCTTGCACTTCCAGGAAGAATATAGGCATAGTACGATGGGAATGTTCACTGTGCCTGTGCACATCGACATGCATTGATGACACAGCGTTTGACGCAGCCTGTTGCACACTAGTACAATTATCAAGATGCCTTCATTGTTTGCGAATGTGAAATTTCTCCCGGGAGAGACAGAGGAAGACAGATGCAGAGAGAGAAACGAACAGAAATGGATAGTCAGAGAAAGAGAGCCAGAGAGAGCCAGAACCACACTTGCGAGAAAGTCTTTTGTTTATTGAAATTTGACCGTAGCATAAAACGTGATTAAAAATCACGTGACCAGTAGCATGTGAAGTATAATACATTGCAATTAAAAAAAAAAAAGGTATTCAATCCTTTTATAAAAAAGCAAATCATTTATACATTACCTCAAACACTTCAGACGCACACATATTTCCAAATTCTCAATAAATTTTACTTCTCTTATTTGAAACCAATAATGACCGAAAGGAATGTTATTCAATTTCACCCATAGACTATAACCAGCAGGTGCGCCTACCATTTCTGGACCTGAAACAAATTTTTTAATTAAAACATTTTAAATCGATGTTTCACAAAAAATAATAGCAATTTGAATGATCATCAAAGCACTTTGTACACAGGCACATGTGGATCTGCACAATACTTTAGATGAGAAATTAAAGAGTTCATTTCTAAATTTCAAACCACTACGCAAACTTACTTCTACATGATGCTTGCTAGTTTTCTGAAAAAATTTCGCTGACTTTTCCTGATTTTCTAGTCCATTATTTTTTTCTTTTTCTTTCAGATACATCCAGTAATTTTACACTACTTAAAGAAAATATTAGAGCTACCCTCATGCTAGGTCTCTCACTTCGCTGTGACAGTTAAATGTTCTCAAGAAATAAAAATTGAGCAAATAAATAACATGATACTACAGTAGAACCCCAGTAATTGAAACTAATTGGGGGTGCATTCTGTTTGGATTATCCAAAAAAATGTACTTACATAACAAATTCATGTATATGATTATCATACAATGAATGGTAGCGTGCAATGTAAGAAAATGGCAATGTAGCATAGTGATCATATCATTAAACAGATACAGTTCCTCTTGGCAAAAGAAGATTACTGATTTTGCAAGATTCTCTAAATGAAAATTCCTGCTACATAAACATGTGATATACACCGTAGTAACCAGTGCAATAAATGATTCATTTCGATAACTTGTGTTTCAATAATTAGTTGTTCAATTCTATAGTAATTATAAAATCCTTGCTTTACACTACACATAAACATTTTATTTATGTTGTTTATTTTTTCTCCATTTTGAATTTTGTTCGGATTACCTGAAATTTCAGATTTGCATCCTCTCTAAATTTCTCCCAGCTTAACGATTCTTCTAAAAAAATCCCTGATTTTGCCTTGACTATACTAAAGCAATTACATTCCCTGATTTTTCATTGTTATCTGTGTTTTCCAGAAACTGGTCACCTCGTTCTAAAGCAATATTCAGATTATCAAAAACAATAGTCATCTTCATTCATAAATAAAGAAACATCACAAAGATAAAGGGTTTCCATTTGTCTGTGGGGGTGCTATCTAAAAATCTCCATTTCATTGCTGCAGATGTCTTGTTATTGCACCTGCCTTAAGACAGAGAGCTCGCCTTATTCTACAGAATATTTACAACATACAAGACAACGTAGTCCTCTTAACATTAAAAACACCCAGTGGGGCCATTTCAAATCCCAACATTTATGGCATTATAACATCTTTGTTTTTATAGATATGAGTTAGCAATTTCATCATTTTTGTTTATTTACAATATGTTAAAAACTGAGATGTCATTTATCTTCTTGGTACTGAGCCCATTCTCTAGTATCCCTTTCATGTATTTAAATGCTGAAAATTTTCAATTTGCCATGCCATTCAGATACCTCCTGAAGAAATACTACCCAAACATTACTTCTACTTTACTCAGTTTTTTGGCCTTCTTGTACAATTCATGCAAACTAATGAATCATAAGTTATTTTGTGACAATCCACCACATGAAACTTAAGTTACTTACGGGGAGGTGTTAAGCCCTATGTCTCCAATGTTAAACTGTCAAAGTATTCATTTGACACAAACCAAATTTGGCATCCTAATTGAAACATACCTAGTACATTTACTGAGTCTTTTTCAGAAATCTATCTATAAATGTAACACTTTAAAATAATGTTAATTGAATACATTTCTTTTGGTTGCATTTTTTGCCAATCTATACTTTATTACAATGCCATTTTTACACGAAAAAGGTGGACACCTACTTGGTAGATATTAATATAATAGTGCAACATTGTGTACAATTGTTATTTTTGGATGCATCATTTCTGAGAAAATGTACAATTGTACAAAAAAAAAACTTTTGGGAAAAATGAGTAAAGTTTTAACAGAGCAAGGAAATACATGGCACTGCATTCAAATTCACTGCATCGCATTCACCCATTGTTGTCGCATCCATGCACACAGAGATGATTGTGTGAGATTAAGATTGTGAGAGATTAAGGATTGTCTGGTAGCATGTATTTGCAACTATTAGTGCAAAATGATTGTTGTATTGCCACATTATACTTCTGAAGTGCTTCAAAGTAACAAAAGCTGGTATAAAAATGATCTTTTCTGTAAGCAAAAGCAAACCAGCTAGAACTTAGCTGATTATGCCTCATCAACTGGCCTCTCCCTTCAACTGAACCACAGGCATGTAGCAGCTACAAATGGTTTTAGATGAAGATCTGAACAGACTGAAGTCATGAATACACCCTGGCCAGGAGTGAACACTGCTCTAGCAGTCTCGGCTAAATCGACATTAGTATTTAGGAACAAAAAACTTGCTTACATGTTTCAATCAGGATACCTCTGTAATTCAATGTCTTCATAAATCAAGTTAGCTTCCCTAAAAAACACTGACATTTAAAAGTGACATTTTGCTTATAATTAACACTGGGAGTGAAAAGGTTATATGTTATTTCAATCTATTTGAATGGCCGTAACGCGAAAAAAGTGTTTATATCATAACTAAATGTACAAAGAATATAAATCTGATGCAAACCAAACATTGAAAATTGTCATCGACATGGTTTAATACTTCCCCTTAAACTCACAGTGCTATTAAAAATAAACAGTGGCTATCATATTAGTTTATACATACTAATAATACAGTTGATGGCATGCACAAATATAGCCAGGCTATAATAAGGGTTTGTGGTGGATGATCTCTAAAAATGTGTGTGCCAAATTTTTACCACATAGAGGGAACATTAGGAATGTATTGTAAAATGCAACAGGATGCTTAGAAAGTACAGTCATTGTTGATGTGCAGCTGAATCAAAGTGTTCCAATTTGTAATTTAGCTGAATTTGTTTACTAGTAAAAATATACTCTTTTCTAAACATTTTTCTTTACTTATCAACAAAATTATGATCTTTTGTCTTTTTCTTTCTTTCTTTTTTTTGGGGGTTCATAAATGATATATGTCAATGAATTTGCTTAAACAGGGAATACTCGACACTCCTCAGTTCAAATATAAATCAATACCATAATATATATCATACTCAGATATAATAATTTATTTTCAAACCTGTAATACCAGTCCAAATTACATCAGATGGATAGAATTGTTCAATCCTTTTCTTCACAATATTCAGATCTCGAGGAAGATCATTTTCAGATTCAGTAACGCAAACAATATCCCTGCAACAGAAACATAATTATATCAAGGGTTATGCGTTTATAATTGATTAACAAAACTCACGAATAAAACTTGTCAGATCACAATTCATTGAATTAATTGGCTATGAACAATTCACTATAAGCTCGTAATTGAATGTAACAATACCTGTACGAATTCAGTGCTCCGACATACCGACGCTCCTGATAATGCCCAACAAATATTCTTTTGGCCAGCATTTGCTTCGCAAATATCTGCACCTGCTGTTCTTCTGATATGTTCAATAATTTTGCACTCCTATTTTCAGGAGAGTTGGCAATAACATTTAGAGGTCGGTTCATGATTGACAAATGTTTTCCAACTACGTATTAAAAATAAAATACATAACCACCCATACAACCTCACTGCCCCATAACCCAACCAACCACCCACAACAAAGTTCTCAATTTACTCCAAAATACAAGACGTGGGAGTCACAGCAATATAGGACTAGAAAACACTGCCCGACACTACCAACGTAAACAACGTGACGGATGAAACTGAGTTTTATCTCTCCTCTCCTACAGTACAATTATTTCAGACAATGTCCCGACAGGTAACTTTCAATTTTCGCTTAAGGTTCACATACATCTCGTTCATCTTGGTCGAGGTGTCATTCGCCTTCTTTTGACTGAGTTCGATACCCCGACTGCAGGGTGCCGGTGACAGGTGGTGCGTGTAAAATAATTGCCCGGTATTGCCTAGCCTGGAGTGACAACGTCCTGTCGTGCAGTTTCTTTTTGACAAGGGTTTATTGAAGAAGGTCTTGCCATTTTACTACAAATGACAATAGCCAATTAGAAACTTGCCTGTGTCTTGCGAAGGGTACATTGACATCGGATATGCATTTGTAAAAATTACATGACATTTTTGATGCATCCGATACCCCATTGTTGTAAAGAAAATTGCCTAATTGCCCTTCCTCCCGAAAACATTGTTTGGTGATTTTATTCATTTATTTCCCAACACTACCATACACTACAATTGAAATTATTACATCCAAAAGACATTTCTTTATTCGAAATACATTTTAATATACCAAGCTGTGCATTTTTAAATGCCAAGCATTTTATTATTGTTTCAATAATATTAGCCGAAGCTGGGTGTCCGAACTGAAATTGCCTATAAAAATGTAGGTCTCAAAAGGAACCTTTTGTAAGTTTCTTTATTTACTTAAACACATTTAATATATTTTTGCACTTGTGGCGCTGCTTGAACCTTGGCTTACACCAACAGCTGAAAGAAAATGTCTTGTGTGCTTTGTAAAAAAAATTTTCTCAGATGTTTTGTATCCTATGTAGGGCCAAACATAGTGATTATATATTAACAATGTAGTGGCCTTAATACCAGGGTGATGCAAATTGTGTAGATCTAAAAACTCTTGTTTACGATGTGACGTAGGTACGTCTGATACGGGATGTCGAAACGTCTCAGAACAATTCTAAATCACTACCAGTAATATGCATTTGTTCTAACTTGATTGACCAATCATTAGTATTCTTGAAGTTCCGGGTTTGCTTGTTGATGAGCATACAAGGTTTTCCCGAAATATCTAATAGAAGAAACGTTAAAAGAGCGTTAATCTTCTGTAATATTCTTAAAATAATATTTCGAACCTAACTTTAGAAAACCGAAAAATTGAGAAACAAATGGACTCGGGGCAGTGATAGATGGCAGCTAGAGAGGGGATGGGTCAAGACCAAAAATCTAGCCCAGATCAAATAAATTGGAATACTAGTACAAGAAAGAATGTGTCGTTCTGTAGCACCACTACTTGTTTTTAGTCACCTAAAACTATCGAGCTAGAATATACTACATAGACTGGCTGAAGCGCCTCCATCTTTGAAGCAAATTGAAGGCATGTTTTTTGCAGACAAAGTAATGCCCTCTGGGAAACAAAGAATTCTTGCATTACGTTTGGCGCTGATTACGGGCGGGTGGGCGCAGCCTGCGCGTAATATAAATCCTGTTATTTTGTGTTCTCACGATCAAAAACCACTAATTTGCAGACGGAATGACAATATGTTAGGAGAACGAATTGAGAAACTTAAAATATACTTTACTTCCTGCATCGATTATTGTCATAAGAATGGAAGTGATTGAAATGTTATTGTAGTAAGCATAAAACCTGAACGTGAAAGATATTGCAATACAGTTATTTAAATACTGTTAAACGAAAAACAATGAAGAAATTAGTTGTAATTCAAACAACACCACGTTGGTTCAGTATCGCAATTGAATACACCGCCACCCGTATATTTGACTTAAAAAAATATGGCGGCCATTAGTTTGGCCAAGAGCGCTGAACCTACAGGAACAGCCCCTCTATATAGTATATTCTAGCTCGTTACAACTTTACCATCTACTCTTACAATTCATGAAGGCAGCTCTAAAATAATTGTCTGGAAAACACCATACCTGTCAATCAGTGGTTACCAAGTTGCCTATTAAGATGTTTGACTAGAAATCAAATAGATATACAGACGTTTTGCCATCCATCCATTTTATCTGTCACCGTTCCTCCTGTAATCAAATGCATCGGTGGTTCAGTGGTAGAATGCTCGCCTGCCACGCGGGCGGCCCGGGTTCGATTCCCGGCCGATGCAAGATCTTTTTCTAAATTAAAATCGCGTAGATTAATACTAAACTATCGGAACCCAAACAAAGACATATGCTCTATAATACATTTTTCAAAATGTTAAATGAAAAAAATAGAAATGGCCTGTAAGTGACAATTTAGACGTTTTTCCGAAAACTTTTCTTTAAAACACAAGGGACTAATACTTCATTTTCGTACCTCACAATTTCGATAGCTATTTTTGCAATCTTGTTGCTTTTCATACATGCTATAAAATACTAACGAGAGAAGCTTTCTGTCCGAGCCATTTCTGAAGTGTGATCCTTTCGATGAATTGTTATCTTGTCACTTCATTTGCAACTTATCATATACTTACATACTATCACATGAAGTTATCTTTTGATTTAAAAAAACCGGAATTCTCAGTAGGAAGGACTCGAACCTACGCTCCCAGAGATTACCGGATTTCTAGCCCGACAAAGTTCTTAACCACGCAGCCACAACTATGGTGGCACCGTACAGGTACGGTGTTTCCCAGACAGTTCTTTAACTGCCTTTGAGGGATCATAAGAGTAGATGCTAAGGTTCTAAAAATGAGAGTTTTAGACAACGAGCTAGAATATACTAAATATACTTAGGTTTTTATTTCTTGGTACGTGAGGGCCAGTCTTCTCGGAGGAATATCTCACAGCATTTCGCGTCTTTCTCGGTCGTGCCGCTAGAAGTCGCATTATCGCCTGTTTTGCTCGACACGGTCGCGATCATATATCTAGCGGCACAACCGAGAAAGACGCGAAATGCCCTTGAGATATTCCATCGTGAAGCAGGCCTTCACGCGCTAAGAAATAAAAACGCAAGTATAGAGTGGTTTCAGCGCTCATATTTCATAGTATGGTTTCAGTGCTCTTGATGAATGACGGTCGCTTAGCTAGCGGCCACCGCTTACCCAGTAGAGAGAAATTTATGTAACGCTGCGCGAAAAAATGGTGAATTTTCGGCAGAAAAACTCTTATTAGAGAACCCTTCTAACGAAAAAGTGGATAAATCAAGTTGCTAAATATAGAAAAAAAATCCTCTAACACATGGTAGCCAAAATCCATGTTTTATGGGTCTTTGAAACCGAAAAATCGAATAACAGCAAACCCTCTGTCCGTCTGTGAACAAAGCTAGCGGCTTAACTGTTTCGCCAATTTTCTCAAAAATGAATATTCCCCGATCAATTTTGTTGATGTCGGGGCCCCTTGAATTTGAAATCGGTATCTTAATTTTGGGGGGAACTTAACATGAAGTCCCTGGGGACATTTTCAAATTTTTAACTAGTGGCGCTGCGAAAGCACGTACTTTCTTGAATGGTTTCTAAAAGTTTCACATCATTACACTACTACATAACTAGCAGTTCTTGTTAAGTAGGTAACTTGTTTCCACTCTCATTCTCGAACTGAGAGTGTCTTCAGAGTTAAAGTGCTTGCCACAGAAGCGCCACAGGGACTCAACTCGGACAAAGGTATACAAAGGTAAATGTCTGATTCATGTAAAAAAACTCAACAATCAAAATATTCGTAACAACTCGCAAAGCCTCCAGTCCTTTAAGATGAATCAGGGAATATCAATTTTGAAGAAAATCCACTGAACGGTTTAGGCGCTATAGTTAACCACAGACGAACAGACAGATAAACGGACAGACGGACATTTTACCAGCAATAGTTTTTTCGGAATGAAGAACCAATGAAACATGGATTCTGGCTACATTACGAGTTAGATAATATTTTTTCCAAATTTAGCAACACGAATTATCCACTTTTTCATTACCAGAACCCGGCAATAATGTTTATTCTGGGAGAATATCGGCGTTTTCTGGGGCATGATAACATAACTTTCTATTCTTACATAGAATTCGTAAGGTGACAAAGTAATAATTTCTGAACCGTTAGGGATATCTAAGTTGGTCACATGGCTAGTGTTCATAGGGCCGATTTCACCAACAGCCGAGTGAAGTTAATAATAATAATAATAATAATAATAATAATAATAATAATAATAATAATAATAATAATATATTTATTTTGGCCACAATTGGCGTCTTTGCCAGGTGGAAGCCAATTAATTACACTATACAAATAAAAATGAAGTGACATTAAATATTTCATAATAAATACAATGAAAACGAAAAATGAAGTAATAGTAAATATAATGTATTACCTAGAACCATGTATACCCCAGCATAGCAAGAAAGCCTCCATTTCACGCAAACACATGTGAAACTCAGACTCTCTGTGCACACACCCAAACACGCACGCACAAGTACGTACACAAACACACACATACACATGCATATATATTCATATACACGTATATACGCATATGCATATACACATGTACACGTGCGTATACACATATATACACACATACATTATGTACACCCCAAAAATATACTACAGACAATTAATACATCTAATATATTCATCGTATCTATTGCGATCTAATTCTAATGCTATAATTTTATTTCATTTACTCTATTCATTCTGCTACGTCTTGCTGCGTTGCACTACCACTCCAATGCCAGCCTCACACTCCACTACACTGCACGCCCCCGCCACACTCCACTATATGTTATTTATTTTAACATTGTAATGCGCATACACACTGAATTTCCTGGAACTGCACTTCACTTCACTTATAAAATAGTAATAATTTTGAAGAAAAGAAAAAAAGAAAAAAAAAATACTATTTGAGACTTCTTATGCGATTTTTAAAACACTTTATAACCTTGGGAAAGGGCTCGATGACTGTTGCAGGTATTTCGTTCCAATCCCTAACGAATTGTACGAATTTACAAATGAATATTTACCGGTATCAGTTCGCTGCCGTTGAGTTTTTATTTTTCCATTTATGATCTTTTCTCCCTATACGTGCAGGACTGTCTAGTCTTCCACTTATTCCCTCCCAAGCTGGAGATTTATTATACGCTTTAAACATAAAACATACATTCTTCCTGCGGGTACTTAATGATTCGAAATGTGTTTGGGTGTCACGTTCCCTTGTAAACCCTCTATTTACGAATTTCACAGCCCTTTTTTGGATTTTTTCTAATTATTTTATTTGACCTATTCTGTATGGATCCCAACAAGCTGACGAGTATTCAAGAGTTGGCCTAACTAAAGATGTGTAAGCCAATTATCTACTTTCCATGTTACCTTTCTTT